GCTTCCACCTAAGGAACTTTTTACCTATGGATCGAGGGCATTAATTGCAGTCAGTTCTCCATTGCAGGGGCTGGGTGACAGTATTTTCTAAATGTGGACAGACAATGGACTGTAGAACAAGGATCTCTGGTATTTCTCCTGATTGTCTTCCACACAGGGAGGTGGTCAGTATTTTGCTCAGTTTACACCCAGATGGACTGTGAGTCCTGAGGGAGAGCACACCTCCAGAGGCAGGAGAGTCTCAAGAGACCACTCCCACAGAGTTCTAAAGGTGAGAGTCTGGTTCTGAGGAAGGAATGAAGGCCCTATGACTTGCTCAAAGCGAGAGTACTCTGGGTGTGAGAGATTTGCCATTGCCCTGCTCTGCCCTGAAAACCACGCCTCACCTCCATGAGGTTCACATTCCTCATTTGATGACCAAGGCTAGTCATCTTCAAATCAGTGATCATTATAATGACTCCTAATCAGGTTTGAGGGCACTGAACACAGTCCCTGGCACATAGTGGGCGCTCCTTCTGTTTAATATGTCAGTAGACTTGTATACCTGGGATGAAGCTTTACACAGAAAGTGCCCAAAAGGATTTTTCTAAAGGAACATGTAGCTCAGATTGGTGGCTCAAAATATGTGGTTACTTGTCACCACAGTTAAAGAGTATGTACATGTGTGTGAGTGTGTATGGCTGACAGAACGAAGACCTCACGGTGGAAAGACTTTAATCGGTAGTAGTCGTCAAGGTCTGTGCTGTGGAAAATAGCTAAAGAGAACCATGTTTTATGCATGCCTGAAGTTGCTCACGTGACTCAATCATTCAGCACGCAAAGTGCTGTGAGAAGGGAGGGCATGCTACAGTGTCACCACCATCTCCACAGTCACTGGGGGTTAATGAAACAAAGACAGGACTGAGAGCCGGGCTCACAGAACTTGTCTACCGAGCTGAACGCCGTAAATACACTTCAGAGCAACGTGCTACCTTACCTGAGGTAGTGTGGGTAGGTTTTCTTTCTTCTTTTTTTTTATTTTATTTTTTTCCTGTATCATTCCTTCTTTGCTGGTAAAACTGGAACGAAGGACTGCAGACATAAACTGTGCAAATAAAATAACCTTGAGAACAGGCTGCTCCAGTTGAAACTTACTGTCTATCCTGTTGCTATGGTTACCTCCAGCAGGTCGCCCAGTGAGAATGGCTCTGTCATCAGCAACGAATCAGGGAAGCCCAGCTCAGGGAGGCGCTCACCCCAGAACCTAATGGCACAACAGAAAGTGACAAAGGAGGAGACAAGGAAGAGAAATGGTGAGAAGCCTTCCCGCCAAGTACTCCCCAGCCCCTCCCACATGAGCTCATGTGCATGCCTACACACATATGCACACATTCACACCCCTGGTATTCTCTAACCCCAGGCCTCTCGACTCTGCCCTGCAAAGGCAGGAAGTCTGCTATGAACCTTTGAGTGACTGCCTTACCCCATCCCTGAATTGTTCTGCCCTCTCTCCCACCTTCAGCTTATTTCTAAAGAAGACTGTGTTTCCCGGGAAAACCCCTTTTTAGAACAAATGCATGCTTGCTTAGAGCGTTTTATTTTTAATTTTTTAAATTTATTTTTATTTTATGTGCATGAGTGTTATGCCTGTGTGTATGTAAATGCCCCCGTGTTGTGCAGTACCCTTGGAGGATTGAAGAGGGCATTCAGATTCCCTAGAATTGGAGTTACGGATTAGAGTTACAGACAGTTGTTAGCTGCATGTGGGTGCTGGGATTTGAACAAGGGTCTTCTGCAAGAACAGCCAGTGCTCTTATCCGCTGAGTCATCTCTCCAGCCCCTAGAGCTTTTTCTTTTTTATTTGTTTTTACTTTATGTGGCAGAGTGTTTTGCCTGCATGTATGTAAGTGCATCTGTGTCACACAATGCCTGCGGAGGCCAGAGAAGAGCACTGGACATTTTGGAACTGGAGTTAAGGACAGTTGTTAACAGCCATGTGGGTGCTGGGAATTGAAGCCAGGTCCTCTGGAAAGCAGTCAATGCTCTTAACCACTGATCCAACTCTTCAGCCCCTAGAGCTTTTTCCAATTCTTGAATGAATCTACATGATTTCCAATGCCAGGTCCAATAAGGTGACAGATATCCAAAATGATGCCCATCTTTCCACCAAGAAACTCATTAAGATGAGTTTCAGGGGTTATTTTGTACCACTGAGTCCAGATACTTAAAAATCTACCTCTCCCAGAAAAACACAACAAATAGATCTGTCATAAAATAAAATGAAAAATAAAACAGCTTTACTAGGTGTGGTGTGGTACACAATTATAATTCCTAGTACTTGGAAGTCCAAAGCAGGATGATAGGAAGTTCAAGGCCAACCTAAACAATGTAGTGAGACTGTACCTCAAAGCAAACATTAAGAAGGGCTGATCTCAATGATAGAATTCTTGTCTAGTATGCTCGAGGCCCTAAGTTCAATCCCTAGTACTGCAAAACAAAGAAACAAATGAGTAAATGAATTTAGCTCAATGCTTAATTCTCTTGGGATACTTAACTGTTCAGTCTCTCCCACAGAGCTCTTCTCCCTGCCTATAAAGGACTGGAGTTTCTTTCTGTCCTCTGAGCTCCCCTTTGGGGTGTGACATCATCTGTAGATCATACCTGTCATGGGTCATTGGGCAATGTCTCTCTCCTCCTGACTCCACCTTTGTTCTGACCGTCAGCCCCACACGATCCTCTGCACTTGAGGTTGGCTTGCTGGAGCCCAGAGTACAAGCATCCAGTGCTACTGATTCCAGACTAGGGAAAATGTTCCAGGGGAACTTCAAATTATCAGGGGAAAAGCAAAATGGCCTGGCACTCTGCTCAGCTGGGCTTCCCTTTGAAAAGAATTTGACAAAGTGTAACTTAGGAGCTCTCCAAAAACTAGTATCAGAATATTCTTTTCAGTTGTCACTTATTTCCTTCTCTCTTTTTTTTTTTTGTCTTATAAAAGAGAAGAAAAAAAGAGAAAGGAAAGAAATCCTGGCATGATGGATTTGAATATGCCCCTATTTGTTCCCCTTTCCATCTGTCACATGAAAGACGTGTTCAAGCTGTTGTGATGATTTGGTTCTTGAATTTTTCTTCCCCTGAACTGTGTGCTGAAAGACAAAGGCTGTGCTTTAAACACCAGAATTAGGGTTGAGCTCTGGGATTTTCCTGGATTATCAATCCTGCCAGAGACCCTCTTTGATTCTCTAACACACAAGCTCTTCTAGAATCAGAGGAACTCTAGCACCAGGAGAGAGGAATTTAGGTGTAGCAACTTTTTCCCCCCTATGTTCTCAGGGCAAGATGCTAAAAGACATGGGTGGAGGGGGCAGGGTTACAGCAGAGACCATGGCCAGGGAGTCATAGGGGAAAACTACTTTACCTATATACAGTCAGCCCACCTTAACCAAGGGCTCTGTAACCTCAAAGTCAACCAACTGTGGATTGGAATATTGGAGAACAGTTGTGTCCGTACTAAGCATAGACCGATTTTTTCCCTGTCATTATTCCATAAACAATATAATATGACAACTATTTATGTTATGTAACATTTACACTGTTAGGTAAGTCATATGGAGATGAGTAAAAGTCTATGAGAGGATGTGAACAAGTTACATGCATATACTGAGCCATTTTAGATAAGGACTTTAGTGTCTATAGATTTGGATGTGTTCAGGTGTCCCTGTGGATACTAAGGAATGACTGTGCTGTGCAGGACACTGTTACTAAAACAAGATGATAGCCATCTGGCCTCCCATCTGCCTGCTACCCCTCTCCTCCTGCAATTCCTTCATTTCCCTACCTCTGGAAGTTTGTAAAGTCGAATCAAAGACCACTCCCCCAGATGCCTTACACACCCACCCAGGCATCAAGTGACTAAATAACTTAGTATGTTTCTTTCTCCAACTTTGTCACTCTGTGTATGTAAAAACACACACGGATTTTTGCATTTTGTCCTCTTTGTTTCTTTTTATAACATGGAATCAATGCATATTTTGTTCTATGCCCTTTTTCTTACTTAAAAATATGTGAAGTACAGAGTCCTCTATCAGTCAAGAGACTGACAAAATGATGTCTTTCCCCTCCCCAAGTTTAATTCATAGAGAAGGAGGGAGAAGGTGGGTCCCTAACCCCATCTCTCCCAACCCAGTCAGTGAAACTGACCAGTTGCAAGTGTCCCTGCCGAGCTTCACCACTCCTGTTTGTCCGCTCTATCTCCTTATGCTATTCAAGTCACTTTAATTATTTAAATATCAGGCTCAGAAATAACCAGCAGAGAGGTGCATGAACAAAATGCAATTAGTGGATCACACCGTGGTCTTCGTTTCTTTTATTAAGAAGCTGCCCTTCCTAGATTCATAGTGTTTGCTCAGTTGTACTGAACTTTAATTAGGAGTAAATCTGGTGAATTTTCAGAGTTGTTTCCTGCTGTGTAACCACAAGTTTCCGTTCAGTGAGATTTAGGTTTGAAATTTTCTATGAAAAATGGTAAGATCAACTCATTTTATGTAAAATTCAACAGATGGGGAAATAAACCAGAATTATAGAATCGAACCTTTTATGAAACATACTTCCTTTCTTTCAAAAAGCTCCTTTCATCTTTTTTATTTTATGTGTGTGTGAGTGTGTTGCCTGCATGTGTATAAGTACACCTGTGTCATGCAATGCCTGAGGAAGTCAGAGAGGGCATTGGATCCCCTGCAAGGGGAGTTACCACTGGTTGTTAGCTGTCGTGTGGGTCCTGGGAATTGAATTTGGGTCCTGTGCAAGAGCAGCCAGCGCTCTTAAACACTGAGCCATCTCTCTAGCCCCATCAAAGAGCTCCTTTTATCCTAATACTAGATAAGAGTTAAACAACAAAACCTTTAATATATTTGATTGGGCTGGGAGATGGACCAAAGAAAAGAAGAAGCTAACATTGAATGGAACTATGGAGAAACAGAAGCCAGTCTTTGTAACACCCCACTAGCCTACAAAAAGCATTGAGCACTTTATATGTGAATATAGCCTCTGAGATTAGATTATTCTTTGTGTGTGGATTATTCAAATACTACTGCCTTGTGGTTTAGTGTCCAATCTAGAGACCAGGGTAACTAAGATTAATTAATAAATGTTCATGTACAGGCTGTTCTTATTTTCCAACAGGCTTGTTGCATCTGTAATTTCTAATCTTGTTCATTGGTGAGCATTATGAACTTTAAAAGGAGAAGACACTGTCCTACCAGCAGTACAGCTGGCCAAGGTCTTTGTGATCCCATGACCTCATTAACTATCTTAGCTGAAAGACAATTTTAGGGTACATTTAATAAGATGTTTAAATATAAGTGAGAAGGTTGGATGTGACAGCTTGGGTTATGAAAGAAAAAGAAAAAAAAGAACAAAAACAAAGCAACTTCCCAGCAGGTGCGGTTACTCACGCCTGTAATCAGGAGGCCGAGGCAGGACGATTGTCATGAGGTCAAGGACACCTGAGCCACAGAGTGAGATTCAAAAAAAAAAATCAAATAATAATAGTAATAATAATAATAATAATAATTAACCCAATGTGATGCTTTTCTCAACAAAATAAAGACATTTGAATTTCTAAGCCAAACCCAATATTACCTTTGGGAAGGGATTCAAGATTAGTATACCCTGTAAGTGTCACTCCCAAGATTTCACCTTCAGGCTACGAATCTAACCAAACTTTAGCTCTTATGGACCATGAGGCAAGAAGAGAGTAAGAATTACCCTTTCTTGGCAAGGGTCAAGGAGAGTTCTTAGTCCTACATTGCTGTGCCAATGAAGTGGGCTTGCTTTTCTCATTTTATTTTATTGTTTTGTTTTATTTGGTTTTTTTACTTTCTGTTTGTTTTTTTGAGACAGGGTCTCACCATGTAGCCCTGGATGGCTTGGAATTTACAGAGATCCACCTCACTCTGTCTCACGAGTGCTGGATTAAAGACATGTGCCGCCACATCCAGTTGGTTTTTCTTTTTAATAGACAAATACCAGTTGTGCATATTCATAAAGTACAGTGTGGTTTTGCATCTTGTATACATGTAGGATGATCAAACCATGGTAACTGGCAGATCAGGTCGACAGCAGAGGGCAGTGGTGCTAGTGTCTTTCAAAACATCTCAGAGAGGAAATACATGCATGCATAAGTGGCTCAAGAGCACTTCCTGCCTCCAATGAGAGGGCTCTCCAAATACCTATTCAAACGTGAAGAAATGAGATCTCTGTCTCCACACAGACTGACTGAAATGAAAACCAACAATGCAGATGAGGCACGAGATAGAAGACAGTTATATGGTGGTATTTGCAGTGATGTGCTAGTGCCCTACGACGGTCTTCCCTGTGACTCTGACCCTTGCCTTTTACATCCTTTTACATGCTTTTTATTATAGGGACTAATTATGTACCTAAATTCCCATGAACCTGATGTGTTCACCCAGTATTTTAATGTATTAATATTTAATATAATATTTTAAATATATTTTTCCATAAAGTCTTTTGG